CCTTCTGCACAACTCTCCCGAATCTACTCAGCAGCCGATCTCGCTAGGATATGGCCTAGGCCGATCACGACGAAGGCTCGCTGCGAGTCCCCTGGCCTGCCCAACGTCTTGGCCCTTTGATCAAACGTGGTCGCGCGCCCTTCGTCGCACAGTTCTTCTTACCTGTAAATGTTGCATCTAGCCGGAGACGCCTCGTCCCAGCGCCAACAGCATGACGCGCAAAGTGGTACGTCCACGAAAATGTCCCTGCCGAACCGCCGAATCCCCCTTCTCTCTCTTCACAGTCACATGCTCAACTATCCTAACCCCAACGCGATAGATTCGATCCATCTTCCAGCTTGCTGGAGCGACTGTGGTCGCCTTTTGCTTCATCGTCTTCCTCGACCGTAACTTCAGGGTGCTTCCCAAGTCTATCCACAACTACATGCCCCAACACAACCATGGCATGATCGTCACCGACATTACACTTGCCCAGTGCTCCAGTGTCAACCCCTTCGCCTCTTGCAAGCTTGATCCTAAAGTGTGGCAGCGTGTTGAGAAGGACCTCTACCTCGGAAAGACTTGGACATCACACGCGTACCTACACGTTGCGCGCAAGAAGGAGGAGGAGCTGTTGCCCGATGATCGCATTGTGCTCGACGTCTCCGTCGGCCGACTCAACCCCACCAGCACCGGCACCAAGGGTGATGATCCCGAGCTCTGGGAGTCTCGTCCTGGCGGCCTCTGGGTGAAGCGGACCCCGAACCAGAAGCTCGGCGACTCCAAGGATACCATCACTGCTGTCGATGTCCTCTTTGGCGATGATGCCGTCGAGGCACGTGACGGCTGGTCAATCGCTGGCAAAACCCCCTTTCTTCTTGGAATCAGCAGCGACACGCCCGTCTCCCATCTCACCGTTCGCCGAGGCCCAGCCAAAGATCCCATCAAGCCCAAACCTCGAATTCCCGACAACGGCAAGTTCAAGATTATGCAGCTGGCCGACCTTCACTTGAGCACCGGTGTTGGCAAATGCCGTGATGCGGTCCCCGATAGCTACAACGGTGGGCCTTGCGAGGCTGACCCGAGAACGCTTGATTTCGTGACAAGGATTATCGACGAGGAGAAGCCGAACCTGGTGGTCTTGAGTGGCGACCAGGTGAATGGTGAAACGGCGCCTGATGCCCAGTCCGTACGTGTACCTCGGTAATGAGGCAATGGAATCTTGCTAACGCGTGACAGGCAATCTTCAAATTTGCACAAATCCTGGTCAAGCGCAAAATCCCCTACGTCGCCATCTTCGGCAACCACGACGATGAAGGCTCGCTTCCAAGGGCCACCCAGATGGCTATCATGGAAGGCCTGCCGTACTCTCTCTCGATAGCCGGTCCGGAGGAAATTGACGGCGTTGGCAACTACTACATCGAGATTCTGGCCCGCGGCAGCTCAGACCACTCGGCCTTGACTATCTACATGCTAGATTCACACTCGTATTCGCCCAACGAGCGTACGTATCATGGCTACGACTGGATTAAGCCGAGCCAAATCACATGGTTCAAGAACACAGCATCCAACCTTGAGAAGAAGCACAAGGAGTACACACATACGCACATGGATCTTGCTTTCCTCCATATTCCCCTGCCCGAGTACCGTGAACGCGACAACCAGTATGTCGGTGAGTGGAAGGAGTGGCGTTACGGCACCCAACTTCAACTCGGGTTTCCGGGATGCTCTTGTTGAGAAGGGAGTCGTCATGGTCAGCGCCGGACAGTGAGTACCACCTCCTAGACCCCGATAGTCATACCACTAACGCTCTCTCAGTGACCATGTGAACGACTATTGCGCCATCTCCAACGACGCGAACAAGAAGCCAGCACTTTGGATGTGCTACGGTGGCGGCGTCGGGTTCGGCGGATATGCCGGTTATGGCGGCTACCACCGCCGCGTGCGGATCTTTGATGTTGACACCAACCAAGGACGCATCAAGACATGGAAGAGGCTTGAGTACGGCGACATTGAGAAACGGATCGACGAGCAGCTTATCGTCGACCACGGCAAGGCTGTCTTGCCTTCGACGCCATAAGCTGGAGGAGCCAACAGTGCAGGGCGACTGGTATGACGCCCAAGCTTCCCTCTACACAACGATTTGCAGGCGTAGAAACTGCAGTCGATAGACTTGGCACACACAGTGCTAGAGCGGGCTATTTTAGTTCCTGGAAAATGGATCCTGTCTGCGATGCTTCAGAGGCTCTGATGATGATACGCCTACGTCGCAACACGGTGAGAAAGGGCTGGGAAGAAGACGACGACATCGGATTGGTTGGATAAAATACCCTACGGACGTGGTCGAGCGTGGAGGAATCACTCGCTTAGGAGCGCTGCTCATGACTTCTGCTTATTGAATCCAAGTAGAGCGACAGAAACGACGAATTGACATTTCTCTGCTTCAGGTTTGACTTGCTGAATAATGTTGAGATCTTCGTTGTCAGAAGGGAGAAGTGCCTTGAACCCTGGGACAGGTCTAGTGCTGACAGTAATGCTTGCTTTGTAATGCATTTGACCCGGCACATTGGTAATGAAATGCCAAGTACTGATTGCGGTGCATCAGAACACGACCCTCGCCAGTACCTTCAGTGTGAACACTTAACAATTCGTCGTACGGGGTCCGAGATCCGACTAGTGCCGAAAGTGATGCACAAAAGGACCTTATGTCAGGTCTCACCAATTCGGAGAGGGGCATCGCCATGACGACATGCACAACAAGCCCCGCTGTTCCAGGACACTCCCCACGATGCGATATGCTACAGTAAGTCCAAGACGGTCTCTTTTGATGCTTTGTCATGCGGGGTATGGTCGCGCCGGCCGGTCGGAAAGAGGTGACTTACTGGGACCGTCATGGGTGGTCCCTCTTCCAACAGCTGCGGCGCCAGAAAGGGGAGCTGGAGCTTTTTCATAAGAGCTACCGCGTTCTTCCTTGGATTCGGTCCAGCTCTTCCTGACCCCACCCCAGCGTGCTTCACTCGGTACTCTTTGATCTCACCACCAGGATCATAACGACTATTTCAACGTTATCACATTTCATGACTTCTAGACTGGGACTTCTGTCGAAGCAATTTTTCAAAATGGCTGCTCCCAAGAGTGATATCCACTTGTACACCACCGGTACACCCAACGGCATCAAGGCGTCCATCCTGCTTGAAGAGCTCGGCCTTCCGTACCAAGTTGGTCACTCAGCTGCGCTTGGTGAAGTCGTGCTAATCTCGGATAAACAAGGTGACCAAGATTGATATCTCCAAGAACACACAGAAGGTGAGAAGAGATCCGAGCAGATGTGACCAAGCAAGCAAACCACTCGATACTCATGCCACCTGACAGGAGCCTTGGTTCCTCGAGATCAACCCCAACGGCCGCATCCCGGCTCTCACAGACTCGTTCGATGACGGCAAGCCCATCCGCATCTTCGAGAGCGGCAGATTCTTGCAGTACCTCGTTGACCGCTACGACAAGGACCACAAGGTGTCCTACCCCGCCGGCTCGCGCGAGACTGGGGAAACCACCAACTGGCTGATGTGGCAGATGGCGGCCTCGGACCCATGCAGGGCCAGGCCAACCACTTCAAGCGTATGTCCCTTCAGCCGTCGCGACGTGCGAGCAAGTGAGACGGCGCCGCTGACGAGTTTGCTTGGCAACGCACCCGAGCAGATCCAGTACGGTATCGACCGCTACTCCTTCGAGTCGCGTCGCCTCTATCGCACTCTGGACACGCACCTGGCCAAGTCCTCGTCCGGCTTCATCGTCGGCGACAAGCTGACTGTCGCTGACATATCATGCTGGGGCTGGATCGCCGCTGCCCGTATGTGTCCTTTTCTCTTAACCCCCTTACTCCTGTTTGCCTTCGTTGCTTTTGAGAGGCGACGCGTACTGCCCCTCTTCCCCGATGACAGGCATGAATGAACCGAGCTGACATGAGCAGACTGGGCCGGCATTGACATTGAGGAGTTCCCCCACGTCAAGAAGTGGCTGTACAAGCTGCTTGAGCGCCCCGGATTCGAGAAGGGCCGCCACGTTCCCACCAAGCACACCGCTCTTGAGTCGGCGCAGAAGAGCGAGGAAGAGCTGGAGAAGGCGGCTGCCGAGTCGAGGCAGTGGGTGCAGAGTGGAATGAAGGAGGATGCCAAAAACTAAGCTGTACGGCTATGACAAAGGACTGAATTTAACAGCATTGTCTTGAGCCCTGAAACATGAGAAGTGTAGGCGGCTTCTGAGTACAAATAATCAATCCATATGCCACCACATCTGATTTACCGTATTCTACTGTACCATCAGTGCGTTTTATTGAGTACCTTACGTAGGTAGGGTACCCAGGATCGCACTAAGCTACTTCATTCGCTTCCACCCGCAATAGTAATGCATAGCTCGGCGGAACACGTGATTCACAGTTGGGTGGAGAATATCTGGCGCTAACTGCCTTTGGCTCACAAGGCTATCGGCCCCATTTTAAATTCGCATCCTGAACATTAGGTAGTTGCCGCTCCTCAACCCCAGCCAGCATTCAAACACTCCTCCCACCAACAAACGCTCTCCTGACCCGCGCATTCTCTCAACCACCGCGCGTCCTCCATCATGTCGTGGAGAAACCAGGGTATCACCGGTTCGAACAATATCCCACTGGGAAAGCGTCGCTTTGGCGATGACGAAGAAGACGGCGGCGACGGGGGTGGTCGCGACCGCGCCCCTGCAGTTGGTGGTGCCGAACTGAAGCGCGGTCGTAGTCCTGAACCTCGTAAGTTCGGCTTCTACAGTACAATGCAGATCTTCATCGCTGACACCCCTATCACAGGCACCGACGCCGATGGCCCGCGGCGCCGCAAGAAGCGCAACCGATGGGGCGACGCCTCCGAGAATAAGGCCGCTGGCCTTATGGGCCTTCCGACGGCCATCATGGCCAACATGACCAGCGAACAGCTCGAGGCGTACACCCTGCATCTTCGAATCGAAGAAATTAGTCAAAAGCTTCGCATCGACGATGTCGTCCCTGCCGACGGCGACCGGTACGTCCCCCACTCCCCGCTGATCTCGTGGTATCCCCTTGACTGACAGTATCGCAGATCGCCCTCTCCTGCACCCCAGTACGACAACCATGGTCGCCGTATCAACACTCGCGAGTACCGCTACCGGAAGAAGCTTGAGGATGAGCGCCACAAACTCATCGAGAAGGCCATGAAGACGATCCCCAACTACCACCCGCCCCAGGATTACCGCAGGCCGACCAAGACCCAGGAGAAGGTCTACGTGCCCGTCAACGATTACCCAGAGATTAACTTCAGTATGATTGCTAACCCTCTAATCCTTCTAACCACTCCTCCTTTCCTTCCCGTACCTGGAACGGGCCGGCTTGCCATGCGCCCTATCGGCGTGTTGGCAAGCTTGGCCTTTTTGAGAGACCTAACCTGCCACATGCCCCTTACTTGACACAGAGACTAACACTTAGCTTTCCCCCCGAAGTTGGCTTACTTATCGGCCCTCGTGGCAATACTTTGAAGAAGATGGAGAACGAATCCGGCGCCAAGATTGCCATTCGTGGCAAGGGCTCCGTCAAGGAGGGCAAGGGTCGTTCCGACGCCGCCCATTCCAGTAACCAGGAGGAGGACCTCCACTGCCTCATCATGGCCGACACGGAGGAGAAGGTCAACAAGGCCAAAAAGCTGATTCACAATGTCATTGAGACGGTACGTTGTGCGTCCCCGTGTCTTCCAGAACATGTACTAATCAACTATAGGCTGCTTCCATTCCCGAAGGCCAGAACGAGCTCAAGCGTAACCAGCTCCGTGAGCTTGCTGCTCTGAACGGTACGCTCCGTGACGACGAGAACCAGGCTTGCCAGAACTGTGGTCAAATCGGACATCGCAAGTACGACTGCCCCGAGAAGCAGAACTACACCGCCAGCATCATCTGCAGAGTCTGTGGCAACGCTGGCCATATGGCCAGGGATTGTCCCGACCGTCAGCGCGGGGCCAGTTGGCGCAACGACGGCGCCGGCCCACGTCCTGCCGGTCGCATCGACGGTGGCGATGCCGTCGATCGCGAGTACGAGGTATGTACATCCCCGGACCCAGTGTGCAGTAGTGTACTGACGTAGCCCAGCAACTCATGCAAGAGCTTGGCGGCGGCCCCGCCGATGGCGCTCCTCCTGCTCGCATCGAAGCCGGACCTGGCTCGTATAACAACGACCAGAGAGGTGGTGATGTCAAGCCCTGGCAGCGCGGCCCAACAGGAGGGCCTGCCCCATGGCGGTCACGCAACGAGTCGAACCATGACGGCGGCTCCGGCGGCGGTGGTGGTGGTGGTGGTGGTGGAGGCGGCGGTGCTGCTCCCTGGGCGCGTGACCGTCACCGCGATCGCGATGATCATCGCGGCCATGGTGGCGGCGGCGGCGGCGGCGGCGACTATTACGGCGGTCAAGGTGGTAACAACTACGGCAGTCAAGGTGGTCAGAACGCCGCGCCGTGGCAGCAGGCTCCCGGTACGCAAGGCGGCTACGGAGGCTACGGCGGTTACTCTGGTGGCTACGGTGCTCCTCCCGGCATGAGTGCTCCTCCCGGCATCCCCCCGCCACCTGGAGCTCCTGGCCTTGGAGCTCCGCCTAACCTCACTGGCAACCTGAACGCACTCATCCAGCAGTACGCAGGCGGTGCTCCTCCTCCCCCGCCCCCCTCGGACAACGCACCTCCTCCACCTCCCAGCGACCAGCCGCCCCCGCCCCCTCCTGGCGCTTGAGGGAGGCCAACGACAAGGCTTGTGGCTATAGTGGACTAACAGCGTTTGGCTTCTCGAGACGGCCTAGCAGCCCTGAATATGCCTGCGCTACCGTGGACAAGACGCCATGTACTGACTAGCAGGGCTGTTGAGCTTGCACGATGATGACCTCTTGACACGACAGGCCGTCTTGACTTTTTAGGATTCAGGCACCGTCTATCTTGCTTCGGAGGCGTCTAACAAGTCTAGAGAATTCGAGGAGAGTCTGCGCCGGCGATCCGTGCAAGTCGATCATGACGGAGTGCCCGGGAGGCACTGAAATGTACCATTAGACTGACTTCAGTATGCACCCAATATGTAGTGACTAACGCAAAACTTTTTCGTGCATGTTGTGATGACAATGATCTGCGGAAATGATCAGTTGTGATCCTTATGTTCGCTGGGCCTCGCGATCACAGGTTCTCTCGATTGGCGTGCATGAGAATGCTGGAGACAGGGCATGACTTGCATATGCGCTGCAGGCGCTACCTACGTCCACAGCGGATCACAGCGGTTCACCTCGGCGATAGCGACACATGCGTAGCTTCCTCGCCCCGCATACCAGGCCAACCACCTCAAGGCAGCACCTGCGGCACCTGTGGTAGGGTGCATGTGCCTTAGACCTAGGCACCTACCTACCTATGATGACATCGCTCAAGCCTAGCAGCAATGGAGCTTGGGCCACCCCGCCCTCCTCTGTCTCTCCCACTTCCAACGTCGACTGTGCCGTCAACCTCCTCACCCTCTGCGCTCTCTGCCAGGCCATACCCCGTCGTCTCGGCCTCTGCTTTTTTGGACTACCACCAAACGTCATTCACGCACCTGGCTCTCTGCCGTCCGTCCACCGTCTGACGCCCGCCATGAAGTGCCACAACCCCTTCGGCTTCCGGGTCGGACCCGTGACCTTCTGGACCATCATCATCTACCTTGCTCTCCTAGTACCTCTGCTGTGGATTCATGAGACCGTGCCCCCCGCGCCGTCCTCCCCGACCCCGACCCCCGGTATCAATCTGACCGAAGCCTGGCACGACTTGACGACGATCACGAAACACTACCACCCCTACAACAGCCGTGACAACGAACGTGTTGGTGACTACATCCTCGAGCGCATCGCGGCCATTCTCGACCGCAACGATGTGAACTGGACCCTGGAAAAGACTGGTGCCGTGCGGGGGACCAAGACCATGTCAGGCTTTTTTCCGTAGTCTTGCTCGTCTTCCGCCCGACTGACTTTGTTTCTTAGCGCTTCCAAGCGAAACGTCGATGTCACCCTCGAGCTCTCCAGCCGTTCTTCCTCTGCCCCATCCGTGACGGTCTTCGATGACAACCTCGCTAATGTGACGTGGGCGACTGATATTGGTATGCTTGGCGATCACACTGCTGGCGTGGGCACATACTTCGAGGGTACCAACAAGCTGGTTTACATTCGTGGCACCGAGGATGAACAAGGCGAGTGGTGGAAGTCCGGCAAGAATGACGTACGCGTCATTGGCAAAGGAGGTGTTCTCGTCAACGCCCACTACGACTCGTAAGACTGGCTATTGCACGTATGCGCTGTGTGCGCGAGGAAGCTAACTTGAGCTAGGGTTGCGTCCGGTTACGGTGCCACTGATGACGGCATGGGATGCGTGAGTATTCTGCAGATTCTCAACTATTTCACGACTCAGGGCCGACAGCCGAAACGCGGCCTGCTGCTCCTCTTCAACAATGGCGAAGAAGACGGCCTATTAGGGGCCAAGGCTTTCGCAAACAGCCCCCTGTTCTCGTTCCCTACCACATTTGTCAACTTGGAGGGTGCCGGCGCCGGCGGCCGTGCCGTCTTGTTCCGATCATCTGATGAGCAGGTCACCAAGGCGTACCAGAAGGCCCCTCACCCATTCGGTCTGGTCGTCGCTTCAGACGGATTCTCCATGGGCCTTGTCAAGAGTCAGACCGACTTCGTAGTCTGGGACGACATCTTTGGCCAACGTGGGCTCGACATTGCCTTTTACAGACCCCGTCCCCGCTACCACACTGACCAGGATGATACCCGCCATGCTTCCCCCGCAAGTCTCTGGCATATGCTCTCCAACTCGATCGCCGCCGTCAAGAGCCTCTCGGATAACACGCACACGTTTTCGGGCCAGAGGTCTGACGGCGACAGGCGCAAGGTACCCAGCGGATCCCACGCCAGCAAGGGTGTTTGGTTCGATATGTTCGGCAAAGGCTTCGCTGTCTTTGGGCTCCGGGGACTTTTCGCGTGGTCTCTGACGCTGCTGATCGTGTCGCCTCTCATTCTTGCCATCCTGGTCTTCATCTTGAACCGCCACGACAAGCTCTACTTCTTCTCCAGAAAGATTAATGTTCACAACGAGGGTTCAGAAGACCCCGTATCCATTGGCGGCTTCCGCGGTTTCACACGCTTCCCTATCGCAGTGGGCTTCTCAGGTGCACTTACGCTCGCCTCTGCATTTTTGCTCACCAAGATCAACCCCATGATCGTCTACAGCAGCGAATATGCAGTGTAAGTTGCCAGCTCTGAAATTTCTGTCTGGTATCTGACACACATCCTAGCTGGGGCATGATGCTATCGCTATTCTATGTGTCCCTCTGGATGACCCTGAAGGGGTCCAGCGCTGTCAGACCAAGTGCTCTGCAGCGGGGCTACATTCACATTTGGCTCTTCATCGTCAGTTGGGGTCTGCTCATTGTGGTGGCGGTGACGGAGGACCGTCTCAAGATCGCATCGGGTTATCCTGTTGTGTTTCTGCACTCTGCGCTTTTCCTGTCGACTGTTATCAGCTTCCTTGAGCTGTTCGGTCTCACCAAGAAGCACGATTATGCCCGTCGGGCACACGACGACCACCAGGTCCGCGACAGAATCGGCGAGCTCCCCCACGATGATGCTCTGATCGCTCCGGACACACCGAACGATGAAGCCGAGGACAGTGACGGAGAAGATAGCGAACACGAACCCACTGAGACCACGCCTCTCAGAGCTGGTGGAGACAGTCGCGTGCGATCGACCTTTGGGACAGCATACCGGTCTGTGTTTACCAGAAAGAGCAGTCCCGACAAGCACAAACCTTTTGAAAACGAGCAGCCCTGGTCTGGCCGGCTGCCAGGCTGGACTTGGATCTTGCAGTTTCTCCTGTTGGCTCCGATCAATGTCATCTTGTGGGGACAGATCGGGCTTTTCGCTGTCGCCGCGACACAGGCTGGCGGTGCCGATGGAGGCAGCGTTCTCACCACTTACCTGATTATTGCTGTTCTCAGCATCGTCATTCTCGTGCCGCTTGCTCCTTTCATCCACCGGGTTCATTACTATGTTCCCATCATCCTCTTTGCTGCGTTCGCTGGCACGCTCATCTACAACCTCATTGCTTTCCCGTTCTCTGCAAACAACAGGTACAAGATCTACTTTGTGCAGGAAATTGATGTGAGCGATGGATCCACCAAGGTCTCTCTGACAGGTCTCGACAAGTACGTCCATTCGGTCATTGGGGAGCTGCCCTCTACGTCAGGCAAGGTGATTACCTGCACCGATTCGAACGCCAGGTCTGGTCTTGTGGATTGTTCGTACGATGGGTCCGCGGTCCCGCCCCTGCTGCATGGGGGCCTGGAGAATGGAACGGTTACCGTCACCAATAAGAGATACCAGCATCTAGTGTCAGTCAACATTACACGATCAAACGACAGCAAGAACCGGGCTACCCTGTCGATTAACGCGGCGGACTCGAAGGTCTGTACTGTCATCTTTGATCAGCCCGTCTCGAACTTTGCCATTCGCGGCTCCGAGGGCCTTGATTCTCGACTGGGACAGTATCCTGATGCAGGCGTCGGGAGCCTCAGGCTCTTCCGCCGTGACTGGACATCACCTTGGGTCGTGGATGTGGAGTGGAATGATCAGCACAAGGTCGGCGAGGTAGCCCTAGAGACCGATAAGCCGGTTGACAAGGACGCCGTCGAAGAGCTCCGGAAAAGAGCAGGCATATCGGGCACCATCAAGTGTCACTACAGCGACGCCAATGTGCCTGAGACGATCCCGGCTTTCCACGAGTGCCTCCAATACTCGCCAGATTGGGCGGCTTTCTCCAAGGCGGATGTGGGCCTCGTTCGGCCGGTCAAGCGCTTCTAAGTGTTCCGTGGGGCGTGGGTAATAATGATGCGATGATGAGGTTGGCGTTCATGTTCCTAGTAGTTTGCATCCTTGCACAAGTAGGCGTTATGATTATTCGTATCCACAGAATCCTGCATGTTGTAATGACCTTTGACTTTGTCATCTAGGTGTGCCTGTGACCTGGCGTGATGATGATGTGCTTTTCTCGCCAACTCAATTGCGATTCCAACTCGTGCGTTCATACCATCATTCTCTCATGCCTCGTGCACCAGGCGGCTACAGTGCTGCTCAAATCCCAAAACGCCACAAGTAAAGCACACTAGAGCACAGCATCCCGCTGGCCAATATCCCACCCAGCGACCCAGCTAAGACTCCATCTCGTCGTCTCCCCGGACAGCCTCCCCCCCTTGTCTCTCCAGCAAGGCCCGCATCCGCGCCCAGAGCTCGGCTTCCATGTCCCTCTCGACCTTGCTGTTCCGGCTGTTGAGCCAGCCGACATCGAGGGCGCCGATGCCGCCGACGCCGTTCGGCTCGAGCGACGGCTTAGCCACAATCTTGGCGTCCTCGTTCATGACCTTGGCGTCCTGACGCAGGCGGATGATGCCCGCCTCCTCGAGAGCGAGAATCTGGCGCTTCATACGCACATCGACCGTGTGCAGCGTCGACAGGAGGCCGTCCATGGCGGACTTGAACGTCTCGGTCTGCTGGGCCTGGGGGATGTGGGGTTGCGGGGAGAGGGAAGTCAGGGCTGTTGCTGTGTGAGACATGAGGGCCACGATGTTCTGTCTGGCGTCAGCTTGGATTCGAAGATGATGTTTTCTTCTGCCGAGGTGAGAAGCGGAAGGGGGTGGTGGACCTTGTCGATTTCGCAGAGCTGCGAGATGCGCTCTTCTAGGGAAAAGGTGTTTGAGTTGTCGGCGTTGTCGGTGGGCGGGGCTTGGGACACTGGCAGGGCGGCGTCTTGCATGGCGCTGTCGTCGTCCATGATGGCTGATCTGTCCCTTGGTGTAGGGGAAGTATCTGTGCGTGTCGGCCTGGTTCTGGTGATGAAAATGAACGCCAGTGATGAGATTCACGATGCTGCTCAGTGAGAGGTGCAAGAACGGATAGATGCGTCGAATTCAGTTGGCGAGGCAGAGGTTGCAGTAGGCGCATTGGCCATTTGGGTGAGCTCTCGGAATGCATAAAGCGGGGTGGTGTGGGGAAATTGGAACGCGACGATCCTTGCATTCGCGTTTGGCGTTCATCCACTGGGCTCTCACCCACCATCCCAGCGCCTCACTCATTCAACGAGATTGTAGAGCTTCATCACTACGAGACTCCTTCCGTCTCACGAACCAATCAGCTTTGGACTCTCTTTTACACCTTCAGATTGAGCTTTATACTTTGTGCAACCAGAGTTCACAGACGTTGACACGCTGCCTTCTGGTCTGACTCTGACTGAGCCTCCCACCCAGCCACTCTGCCTCCTCGGAGAGCTGCGATTGACTGAGCTACATCACCACAGGCAGCCACTCACAAACAACACCGCCATCATCATTCATCATGTCGGGCGCTGGAGCCCCCGGCGGTCCGCCAGGAGGCAACGGGCCCCCCAGCGCTGGACCGCAACAGAGCAACTTCACGCCGTCGCAGCAACCTGTAACACCAGGCACAGCCGTCGCAGCAACAGCAGCACCAGCGGCGGCCGCTCCTGCCGCAGCACAGCCGCCCATGTCGAACCAAAACCTCAACCAAATCGTGAGTTTTCCTTCGAGTTGCTCTATCATCTGCACGCCAAGCCGCACATAACTTTCGATACCGAACACCATGCGCGGCCCATCCCTGCTCTCTGCTGACTTAGTCTTTGAGGTCACCGACTACCTCTTGAAGCGCGGCTTCACGAGAACTGAGAACATCTTCCGGCAGGAATCCAGTCATCTGGGTCCCGATGGCCGGCCCATTCAGGCCAAGGTCGACGACCTGGGTCCTCAGAAGTATAGGAAGGCCTTCAACATGCTGAGGGACTGGGTCGACAATGGCCTGGACATTTACAAGGTATGCACTCCACACTTTCCTCCCTCCCTCAGGTGCCCATGGCTGACATCTTTCAGTTCGAGCTCGGCAAGCTTCTCTGGCCCGTTTTTGTCTACTCATGGATGGAGCTCATCAACCAGGGCTACCTTGATGATGCCAAGAACCTCCTCACTGGCTTGAAGCCCTTTTTCGAGGCCGGACATGCCGATGATCTCAAGACGTTTGACACCATCTCCATTCCACACCACCTCAAGGAAAATGCGACTTGCAAGCTTTACACTGAGAACAAGTTCCGCATCCCTCTCAATCAGCATGTCACCGGCAACCTGTTTCACTTCCTCGAGCGAGAGAAGGAGAACGGCGGCGCTGTCATCATATACATCTTGCAGACCTTTTGCCAGATTGACTCGACTGCTCGTGGCCCTATCGAGCCCTTTAGCTTCGAGGCCATCTATCGCCGGACGCAGAACATGACCCTGGATGAGATTGACGACAATGAAGGCATACCTGGCATATCTCTTGGCCTGACGAACAGGGACATGCTCGACACGTCTGTGGCGTTGCGTCTGGGACCCATGCCGATGGACGAAGATTTGCGCGACGACGTGCGGGCTGAACTTGCTGAGGCGGATCAACGCAACCCTCCCACCGAAGGCAAGGCATCGCTCGCGGATGAGTTTGAGCAGAAGATCAAGCGTGAAGAGAGCGCCGATGCTCCGTCAAGGTCTGACCTTCCCCTGCCGCCCTCTCGCGCGAGAGACGTCGTCATGGAGATGCAGAAGGTTCGGGAGAACCGCGATCGCTTCAAGATTGAGGGCCGCACAGGCGGCGTTGGTGTTCCCATCAGCGCTTGCATGTTCACCTTCCACAACTCTCTCGGCAGGTAAGAAGAGTTATCCATTCAGAAAATTGAATAATGCTAACTAAAGACCTAGCGTCTCATGCTTAGACTTTTCCAAGGACCATGAGTTGGTCGCCGCGGGTACTACGGACTCCTACATCCGCGTGTGGACTCTGGACGGAAAGGCTCTTAAGTCCAAGGCTGCCCACGATCTCGATTTCAAGGCCAATAATCGCAAACTCATCGGCCACTCCGGTCCCGTTTATGACGTTGCCTTTTCCGATGCCATCGCAAGTGGAAACCACACTCCTTTCGCTCACGAAGGCAAGGGCAATAGTGCCATTGACACGGGAGCCAAGCTTCTGCTTTCAGCCTCTGCGGATGGCCATGTCCGCTTGTGGTCTCTAGATTTGTGGCAGTGTCTGTGCATCTACAAGGGCCATGATGGTCCCGTCATGAGAGTTTCGTGGAGCCCGCACGGTCACTACTTCGTCAGCGGCGGCTGGGACAAGACGGCTCGTCTCTGGATGCAGGACCACGCCTCGGCTATGCGCCTTCTCGTCGGCCACAACACCAGCATCTCTGCTCTGACTTGGCACCCCAACGGCACTTACCTCTTCACAGCATCCGACGAGACTGACAAATCTATTCGCATGTGGTCTGTCGTCACGGGCGGCTGTGTCCGTGTCTTCACTGGCCACAACGAATACATCTCCTCACTGACATGCGCGCCCAATGGCAAGATCCTCGCCAGTGGTGATACAGGTGGCAACATCATGTTCTGGGACATAGAAAAGGGCACGCGGATCAAAAGGTCGAGAGGCCACGCAAAGGGCGGTATCTGGTCGATGGATTTCAGCGTCGAGTCCAACGTTCTCGTTTCCGGAGGCCAAGACGGCACTGTTCGTCTCTGGGATGTCGAGCTTCCCGCCGATGGCCACAAAGCTATCCCACAGCAGGGCGCTGCGCCTACTCAGGAGGGCGGCGAGGGCGCACCTGCGACGGGCGGGGCCGTGGAGCGCGGTACTACTGGTAGCCAAGGGTCATCAGGGACCGGTTCCGGCGGCATCGGCGGAGGCAAGAAGAAGGGTAAGGAGGTGATGATCACGCCCGACCAGATCAGTGCCTTCCCGACGAAGAAGACGCCCGTCATGGCGGTGCAGTTCACCAGGATGAACCTCGTCGTAGCTGGCGGGTGTTATGATCCTGAGCGGTGATGGTAGCGGCGGACACGGGGGCGACAAAACTGGGCTGCTCGCATGGCGTTAGGGGTATGGCCTTGGATGGCCCATGGTTGGGGTAGTCGTTCATAGGAATACTATTGTGGTCATATTGGCACTTTCGCTATAGACTGGCTGCCAGAGTTACAATGATTGCGTGATCAAAAACAGCCTAGGATGCAGATTGAAGGGAGTGAAGCAATTCAGCAGCCAAGCAAACTTCCGTGCCTTAGGTCAAGCGGCCTCTTCAAGTCTCTGTGGATACCATGAGATGACCAAAAAGAAGCTACGTTCTTGCTGGAAGCTCCGCAACGGCATGAGGCGCCGGCATCTCCGACATGTCATCCGTGACCATCTCTGTTGGCCTCTCCTCGCTAGCTACCTCTGTCCGCCTCTCCTCGCTGAGAACTTCAGTCGGCTTCTCCACACTCGCGACCTCGTTCGGGCTGCTACTCTCGGCGCGGCCCTGCGTGTCGAGCGGCGACACGGACGGCACAGGAAGGCTCGCGACCTGAACGCCCGTCGTCTCCGCTTCGGCCTTCGAAGTCTTTCCCCTCCTGCAATAGAAGAACAGGACGAGAGCCAGTCCCGCCAGGGCGAGGACCCCGAGCGGCACGCCGACCGCCACAGCCACCTTGGTCGTCGACGTCCAGCCGCCTCGGCTGCTGCTGCTGCTGCTGCCCGCCTCCCGGTCTGCACTCTGGCCGTCTCCGCCAATCCGGGTGCCCGTCGCGGCGGCGGTGTCGACGGCGTTGAAGACCCACCCGTTGATGTGCATGCCGTCAACGGTCGACAGCTGGGGCGCGAAGCTGGTGTACTCCCAGGCGCCGCTCATGGCGGAGACGGGCTCGGCCCAGGTGAGGACCTGGTTGGGGCGGACATCTGATATGCACTGGCCCATGCGATTCGGGCCCACGAAGGTGATGAACGTGTAGCCGCTGGAGCGTTCAGCTTGAGACGTACTGAAGAGGAGAAACAGGTACGTGGCGGCCACGACAGAACGAACAAGAAGCTGGAGGAGCATGACCTACCTTGGACAGCATCCCACGAGCGTGGAGCCCGCGCCGGCGTCGCTCGTCGTGGCGGTCGTGTAGGCCTCGGGACAGACGAGCGGCCCGAGGCTCCAGCGCGTCTGGACGATGTCTTCGTCGCGGTCCTCGGCGTGCCACCAGGAGGAGACGGCCGCGGGCTGGCAGGAGGCCGAGGGGTCAACCCAGAGCTCGTAGCCCGGGTCCCATGCGACGATGGGGGAGTCTTCCTTGTCGAGGCGCCAGAAGAGGGAGGAGCAGGAGGTGTGGCAGGGGTACGCCGTCGTCAGGGGGATCCAGATCGTGGTCATGTCGCCGTTGACTTCGGGGCTGCGGCTGTCGGTCATTTGCGTGGGTGTCATTGTCGCTGGGGTGGACAGCTGTAGCCTGGCATGGAGGTGGGTTCCGAGGACGAGGTGAAGCAGGGAACGGAGGGAATATCGCATGGACTAAGATGGTCGGCCTCTGAGAGATGTTGCAGTCATCTCAGTAGCACAGACAGGATCAGTATCACGGCCATCAGGGCATCGTGACATGTCGACGGGAAGACCGAATCTGTCTTGCCTTGAAAACGGATAGCTGCAGAAAGCTAGCCGATCGCAGTGCTCGAGATTTGGAGAGACAGTTCATTGTTCACTCCCGCTGTCCTGCAAGAACCAAATGATTTGTGAACTCGTTGAAGTGACCACCTCAAAGAGGAGAGCCGGTCATGGTGGAGGCATATCGACGTGGTGATGTAATATTACATTGTTTGATTGAGTGACCGTTTTCCGAAGAATGATTAAACTATTGGAAATGTCAATCTCATTCAGGTGTAACCATCTCCTGAAGTGTGAGAATGGAGAGGATGTAATGCTTGCAATGTTGCAGGAGACGGTGATGGCGATGAGGTCGGTTACATGTGGCTGTGCGAAGGTCCTGTGTGGCTGACTGTGGCACCAGCTTCCCCAGGCACTTGCCCCCCTTCGTGCGTAATGCTCCAGGCACCATGGCAATGCGGGTGGATGAGGTACATCGCAACGACATCCTCCCCACGCTGCGACCTTCATTCCGATCCACCTCTTGTGCTGACATCCAATCTTCCTGCACATCCCACAACCCTCCTCACCCGTCACGTTCCGGGCCACCATGGATCCTCTCGAAGAATCCCCTTGGGGCGAATCGGCGCCTTCGCAAACCTCGCAACCCGAAACCTCCCAATCGCAGGATGATGCACCCAAGCCCTCCGCTCCGAGCACCTCTTCGACCCGCCCCTCGCGCGCTGCTCCTCGCCGCATGGTAGCCCAGCCAACCCGCCTCGAAGCCGTCGATGACGACCCTCTCGGTCCATTGGGCCCCCTTGGCGGCCCTGCTACTCCCGGCACTCCCGACCTCGGCCAGGATGCGCCTCCCGTCCCGCCCCAGAAGGAGGAGATGGTGATTCGCACCACCATGCCGCCCTCTCAGACTCGCCGCGCTGGGCCCGCCGACCCCCATCGTGTCGACGATACGGATGACGATTACAACCGCTCAAGTGGCCCTCGCGCGCCGCCCCCTGTTCAGGCTGCCCATCCCAGCGCCGTTCGGACGACCACCAACCCCAGCGTGAGCGTCGAACAGGCGAGCAGGCCGACCTTCCACATTTCCGTCGGCGATCCCCACAAGGTCGGCGACTTTACAAGTTCACACGTGCAGTATGCCGTGCGGACTGAGGTAAGCTGCCACCCACGAGGCGACATGCTGGTTTCGTCGCTGACAACGCAGACAACATCCAAGGCGTACAAGGAGCCCGAGTTTGAGGTGAAGCGACGGTACCGCGATTTCCTGTGGCTGTATAACACACTGCACGGGAATAACCCCGGCATTGTCGTGCCGCCGCCCCCAGAGAAGCAGGCTGTCGGTCGCTTCGAGACTAACTTCGTCGAGAGCCGCCGCGCCGCGTTGGAGAAGATGCTCAACAAGATCGCGGCGCACCCTACGTTGCAGCTCGACGGCGACCTGAAGCTGTTCCTCGAGAGCGAGTCCTTCAACGTCGACATCAAGCACAAGGAGCGGAGGGAGCCCATCCCGACAGAAAGCAAGGGTGTCTTGGGCAGCCTGGGCATCAGCGTCGGCGGCGGCAGCAAGTTTGTCGAGCAGGATGACGTGAGTGACAATGCCGAATCGCCAGTCTTGCCAGGCTAACTGATACAGTGGTTCCACGATCGCAAGGTTTACCTCGATGCGCTGGAGAACCAGCTCCGCGCCCTACTCAAAGCCATGGAGACCATGGTCGGCCAGAGGAAGATGATGGCCGAGGCGGCCGGCGACTTCTCCGCCTCCCTGCACGCCCTCTCGACCGTCGAGCTCTCGCCCTCGCTCTCTGGCCCTCTCGACGCCCTCTCAGAGCTGCAGCTTACGATTCGCGATGTGTACGATCGTCAGGCCCAGCAGGATGTGCTCACGTTTGGCATTATTCTTGAGGAGTACATCCGACTCATCGGATCTGTTAAACAGGCCTTTGCGCAGCGGCAAAAGGCCTTCTACTCATGGCACACTGCCGAGTCAGAGATGCAGAAGAAGAAGACCACGCAGGACAAGCTCCTAAGGCAGGGCAAGAGCCAGCAGGACCGTCTCAACCAGATGGGCGCCGAGGTCGCAGACGCTGAGCGCAAATGCCACCATGCGCGCATGCTGTTCGAGGACATGGGCCGACTGATGCGGGCGGAACTGGACCGCTTCGAGAAGGAGAAGGTCGAGGACTTCAAGAGCGGCGTGGAGACGTTCCTGGAGAGCGCCGTCGAGGCGCAGAAGGAGGTGAGTCATTGCTCTGACTGGGCGTTACGAAATACGGCGTGTGGCTAATGAAATGCAGTTGATCGAAAAGTGGGAGACGTTCCTCATGCAGCTTGACGCCGACGACGACGAGACGGTCTTCTACCGCCCGCCTGTGACAGAAGGCAACAAGCCGGCCGGTGACACGGCAATTGATCGGGCTCGGGCGACAATCAATGATGACTCGGATTAGGTGCCGACCAAGATGGCGCCGCGGCGCACCTCGGTCATGTCCTTCTGGGGTCCGCCGTGCGATTCGAGTCGCTGGGCAGCTTTGCCGGTGTCGCGCAACCGGCGTATCGTTAGCTGGTTGCGGTTCGACAAGCCTCATCTCCACCCGAGTTCGTGAGATTGGGGGTTCTCTGGCATGATGCACTGACAAGAGGGGGCGTCGGGAGGAAGTGGACAAACAATTAGGTCGTTTTCAATGGTGTTGGTGTTGTACATATATGACAGTAGAGTCCGGCCTGGACCTTCTAATCGCACAATGAGCGTCTCCCTCCTACATTTTCTGCCATCCCATCTTTTGGGACAAGGACCCATCCGCGTGACCTTGTTCATCGTGCTATACATGAGATCAAGCTCGTAACCCCTTCTTCGCCCCCCCCCCTTTCCGGACAGTCATCCCGAATCCGACCCCTTATTTCTTCCCCTTCGTCTTCTTGTGGAATACCGGTGCCTTGGGCTCTTCCATGGGCATCGAGTACCCGCTGATCAGATCACCCATGTCCCACACCTCTTCCTCGTCGACCTCCTCAACGGCACCATCGCTCTTGCCCTTGCCCTTGCCCTTGCCCTTGTCCCCCGCGGCCTGCGCGTCAGCCTCCTCCGAGGCGGCGTCGAGCAGGTCGAAGCCGCGGCCGAACCTCTGTCGGAACGCCGCCAGCTTGCCGGCCTCGTCGAGTTCGACGTTGTGCAGCGTCTTCTCCGACGGCTGCCAGAGGATGTGGTTGCGCGAGTCCTTGTCGGCGCGGTGCAGCGGCGCCGGGGACGTGGTGCGCGCTGTGAAGGTCGAGCCGTCCGAGAGCTGGACGAGCTGGGTGAAGGTGTAGGGGCGGCGGGGGCGGTGGATGTAGGTCGCGGCACGGGACTGGCGGGCGGCGAGGTGTGCTGGTTGCGTGGGCAGGAAGCTGCCGGTTGTGGTTTTTGTCGTCGTGTGAAGGAGGAGCGGGCGCCGGGCGAGGGCGGAGGGGAGAGAAGCCATTGTGTAGCCTGTGGTCACTCGACGGGCGAGGTCTACGTGTTGGTTTTGTAGGTGACGGAACGGGCAAGACGCTCACTGATGGCAGTCGAAGGGCGGTGCGTCGCGACTGGAGGTTGATGGG